TTAATAATATGAAATAAGCTAAATTACATATTTATCATGCCCCCTCAAACTGGTGTGTCGGAAGATAAAACCAGTTTGTTTGCGAGAATTTGAAACCTTTGAATAGGAAGTGGCTTGGTAAATATGTCTGCGATTTGATCTTTGGTTGATATATGATGTACGGTGATGGATTTATTTTTGATGCAGTCTATGATGAAGTGACAGTCGACTTCTATATGTTTGGTACGTGCGTGAAAGACCGGGTTGTTTGCCAAGGCAATGGCAGAGGTGTTTTCACAAAAAACAGGTGTTGAGTCTGACTGAGAGCAATTTAATTCTTGAAGTAGGCGGCGATGCCATATTACTTCTGCTGTTGCGGCGGCGAGGGCTCGATATTCCGCTTCGGTTGAGGATCTTGCTACGGCTGTTTGCTTTTTGACACTCCATGAAACAAGAGAGGACCCAATATAGTTGCAGTAGCCGGAAATGGATTTTCGATTGGTGGAGTCACCCGCCCAGTCGGCATCTGCATAAGATTTAAGGAGAAGAGAGTCACGAAATAGTGGTAGACCTATGTGAAGTGTACCTTGTATATAGCGAAGAAGTCGCTTGAGGGCTTCGAAGTGAGTATTGGACGGGCATTGCATGTGTTGCAAATTTTGTTGACGGCGAACGAGATGTCAGGTCTGGTTAGCGTGAGGTATTGCAAGGATCCTGCAGTAGAACTATGTGAAGCGTACCTTGTATATAGCGAAGAAGTCGCTTGAGGGCTTCGAAGTGAGCATTGGACGGGCATTGCATGTGTTGGCAAATTTTGTTGACGGCGAACGAGATGTCAGGTCTGGTTAGCATAAGGTATTGCAAGGATCCTGCAAGTTAACGAAAAAGAGTAGGATTAGTGAAGGGAGGAGATTGATTTGAGGATGGAGATAGTTTTGGTTGAGATGGTGTGGAAACCGGCTTGCAATTAGTCATGGCGGCTTTAGATAAAATAGATACAGCAAACTGGCTTTGACTAAGATGCAATCCATGATTTGTGGGCATGACTTGAATGCCGAGAAACTGATTTATAGAGCCGAGGTTGCGCATTCTAAATTTTGCGTTTAGATTGTTGAGGAGATCGGAGATAGCAGAATTAGAATTTTCTGTTAAGATTATGTCGTCGAAGTAGACGAGGAAGAACATGGAGATGTTGGATTTGTGA